GTGCTACTAAAAAATCTGATTTGCACACTTATGTTCTGGTGTTTACTCCTTCTAAACCAAAAATACAAAATAAAGCCCAAAATAATGAGTGTTTGATTGCTCTGGTTTATTTTGTTCTCTAACTTCCTCTCTAGGTGTGGCGACCCTCTGTCTGGTGCCCCCACCCTGACCCAGGCCCGCCACAGGGCCCACCTGCAGCAGTGTTTTGCAGCCCTGGCTCAGTACCAGCGGTACCGCAACATCGACCTTGCTCTGGCAGCCGAGGGTGTCCGGTTGGCTCTCACCAGCCTGGGCCGGATCACTGGACGGGTCGGGGCAGAGGAGATCCTGGATATCATCTTCAAAGACTTCTGCATTGGAAAATAGTCAGATGAGTAGCAGTGAAAACATAAAATACATATAGTACTAGCCTGCTCAGAGAGCAAGGCTGCCTTTTTGTTTGGTCCCAGAGTATCAGTAAAGAAAACTTCTGCGTTGCGCCCGGCTTTGTGGCACAGCAAGACTAAAACGAAAAAAAATCATGTTCTTGGCTGCTGGATCACTCTGATCCCAAGACACAGAAATGTTTGTTTTCTGTAAATGCTTTTTAACAGGCTGAGATACTTTTAGTGATGACAGGTGCCTCAGAGGCCCCATATGCTGGCAAGTGTTTGGCAAGTCTTGAGTCGTAATTTAAAAATAGTTTTTGGAAGCCTTTGATAGGAGAATATTGGGCTCTTGGGTCGCAACATAATAGCCAAGATCATTTAAAATAAAGCCAGCCTCAGAGCTCTGCAAGGTCATGGGTAAGGTCAAGTTTGGATGTTTACTTGTACCACAAGACAATGAAGATTTTTTATTTTTATTGGCGGGGGGGAGCAGGTATCATTTCTGCTGTGTGTGTATGTGTGTGTCCTTGTATGGTTTTTATGAGAAATTCTATTACTTGTATTATACGTGTACATGTATTATTTGTTGTATTATATAGTATATTCCACTATGGATGCATGCTTGTGTGAAGTAGATACAAGCTGTCACATTTATTTCCATTGAAAAAATTTACCTGTGATGTGTGGGAATTGTCCACATGACTATTTAAAATGAACATAGTTCATACAAAATAAATTTTACATGGAATCTTTGATGTGGAATAAATGGGATAATGTGTGTTTTTGTAACAAATTAAATTTATCTCAAGAATCAAACAGACGACAAAAGAAATATGGGCAGATTGTCTTTAAACTTGATCTTATATTACAACCAGGGGGGCAGTGCCACAAGCTGTAAACACAATATTAACATTTTATCACTTAAAGCTGTCATTATATGTAAGTGTTAATTGCCTCTTTACACATCCAACAGAGCAATATTAGCATCGTGTTTCTGGCCACCAGACAAATATAAGTCCAATTTTCACTCTCATTTTAGATCTGTTTTTGTCTCCACCAACTCCTGAAGGAAATATCTGGCTAATTAGCTGCTAACTGTGCCACTACTGAATGTTCACCAACTAAATGCGCCACTACTGAATGTTCACCAGCTGGTCGCTAACTTATCTGTCTGGTACTGTACAGGCTGCATGGAGAGTAAATCAAAACAGTAAAAAGTTATGTGTCATAAAGCCAAAGCAATGAGCTGAAAGATGATAAAATATTGTGAAGAGCTGCAGTCTGTGATAATTCTTACTTTAAGCAACTCGCCTAATATTACACAGCCATTTGATCCATTATTAATTTAGAAAATATTGATAAGTGCAGCTTTTAATTACAAAGAACTATAGATTTTGACCCTATTACATGTTTAAAGATACATCAGCTTGTTACTCACATTGTTTGTAAGGCTTTAATAAATGCACATGAAGCACTTGATGCATGATTGCATGCAATTTCACAGTGTCACATACCACATCATGCACTTTACGTGTTCATAACAGCACTTTAAAGTGGTTTCCCTTACATAAAATATTACCCGTTCTTACACAGATTGAATTGGTGAGGTCTAATTTCTTGCTACACAGTAGCTGTCGACAGATGTACTGTATGGGTTCTGACTTTTTCCATTATAAATAAAATTTTTAGTCCAGCTTCCACCATAAAGTATAACATAATAGTGATACAATATATAAAGAAAATCTGTGACCCTGTTCCCCCCTCTGTGGGAAAGGGACGCTTTTTGAGGCGATGGTCTCTGTGCCCTTTGTTCCCCTGTCAATCTGGCCTCGATCAAATATTTATGTTTCCTTGTTGAACTCCTCACCCTTCTTCCCCAGTTGGTTTCTTCTGTCCCAGTCTCTGACGACATTTGCCTTGCTGTACACCAGCAAAACTGTCTCTCTCTACTCCGTCTCGTCTACCTGACCTTTCCTCTTTCCACACTGCTCTGTCAGCCTTTTTGTCCTCTTTCATGTTGTCCCTGATTAATTACAACACAGGGGGAGTTCAAGATAAATGTGGGACTTGCTGTCGTACAAATTAGATGCCATAAACAGACTGGTTAATCTTTGAAGTAGTGCCTGTGTGTAATAACCTTTGGCGCATAATGTTTAACACACAATACTTTCTTGATACCTTACTTTAAGAAAAACCACTTAGGTCCAGACTGAAATATCTCAACAATATTACATGGATTGCCATGAAATTTTGAGTCCTCAGAGGATGTATCCTAATTACTCTGGTGATCCTCTGACATTTCCTCTTGCACCTCCAGGTCAAACTTTAATTTATTCAGTGAAATATCTCTACATCTACTAGATGGTTTAGCACCACACTTATATGGTTTCCAGAGGATATACATATGTGACCCCCTGACTTTTCCTCTAGCCCCACCATGATGTTCAGATCAACAAATATTGGATGGATTGCCATGAAATTTTTGTACAAATGTATATGCAGAAGGAATTGTAATAATGTTGACAATCCCTTATCTTTTGTTTGAACACCACTGCCAGAGTTGACATTTTAAAATGTCCAATACTACAAAACTAATCAGCCTCCGCTGTACTTTTTTTTAAAAATGTTTTGTGCTCAGCAAATTTCAACATGCTAACACGCTAAACTAGCCACTTTATTAGGTAGACCTTGCTAGTACCGGGTTGGACCCCCTTTTGCTTTCAGAACTGCCTTAATTCGTCGTGGCATACTTTCAACAAGGTGTTCTATTGGATTGAGATCTGGTGACTGTGGAGGCCATTGGAGCACAGTGAACTCATTGTCATGTTCAAGAAAACAGCTGGTACTAAGGGGCCCAAAGTGTGCCAAGAAAATATCACCCACTCCATTACACCTCCACCAGCCTGAACCGTTGATACAAGCCAGGATGGATCCATGCTTTCATGTTGTTTATACCTAAAGTCTTTTAGTCAGTTATGTTAAAGCCTGACCCTACAATCTGAATGTTGCTGCTGAAATCGAGACTCATCAGACCAGCCAAAGTTTTTCCACTCTTCTATTTTACAATTTTAGTGATCGTGTATAAATTGTAGCCTCATTTCCCTGTTCTTAGCTGACAGGAGTGTCACCCGGTGTAGTATTCTGCTGCTGTAGTCCATCTGCTTTAAGGTTGGACGTGTTGTGAGTTCAGAGATGATATTCTGCATACCTTGGTTGTAACAAGTGGTTATTTGAATTACGGTTGCCTTTCTGTCATCTTTAACCAGTCTGCCCATTCTCCTCTGACTGCTGACATCAACAAGGGCACTTTAATTCCCACAACTGCTGCTCACTGGATATTTTCTCTTTTCAGACCATTCTCTGTAAACTGTAGAGATGGTTGTGCATGAAAATCCTTTATCTGAAATACTCAGATCAGCCCGTCTGCCACCAACAACCATGCCACGTTCAAAGTCACTTAAATCCCCTTTCTTCCCGATTCTGATGCTCAACCTGCTAAACATCAGCATGTTATTGTTGTCATTGTGAGCATATTAGCATGTTACAGCCTCACAGAGTCACTAGCATAGCTGTAGAATTCTGTTTTTAATTTAAAAAGAGGAGCCAAAAATTCTCGAACATTAAGCATTCAAACACATTCAACATGCCCTGTTCTTCACAGTTCAGATTTTTTACTTGATAAGTGAAAAGTTTGACCTGCTGGTTAGAGGAGAAATCAGGTAATCATCAGAGTCATTAGGAGTCAATAGCTGTTGAAAGCTTTCACTCCAATCCACAAATATCAACCTCATAGTGCCACCAGCGGAAAGACCAGATGATCATTAAAGCCAGTAGGTTTCATCTTCTGGAGAAGATGAATATCTGCACAAGATGTCATGGAAATCCATTTAATAGTTGTTGAGATATTTCAGTCTGGACCAAAGTGGTGAACAGACACTGCCGCTAGCATGGTGAAAATAAGAAAAAATGGATTCACGCTGAATAATCAAGAGTAAAAAAATTACAGCGCAGTGAGAGATGTGAATAAATAGAACAAAATGTAACTTCATAATAAGCAGTGGCAAACAGAAATGTTTTCAGATTCATACAATATTGATGGTTTGATCATTATAATCCTCAATTTCTACCTTTTAAATGAATACATTAAATGGATAAGACTTTAAAGATATGGGGAACAAATTAACGCTTATCACTGGTTCCATACTTAATTTTAGAACTCAGATTGATGTATTTATATTTACAAAATAACTTTTGTGTCATGATTTGGTTCACAGCTTACTAAAGAGCATAACTTTAAGCTGCCTGTCAGTTTCCTGTGCTTTTGATTAATGGCTGTCCTGAAATGCGAGGTTGACGTAACCAGGTCCAGTACGGTCAGTTCCACCCTGTATCCCTTTGATTTAAAGTCAGGGTGTGTGTGAGTGTGTGTTCAAGTCAATATCTAGGATCGAAGACACTTCATGTTAAACAAAGGATTTCCTGAGGAAAGGAGGCATACTCACTCACCTGTCCAATGAGCCTGGGAGTTTATCTTTGTAGGTTTTCTTATGCAACATAGGAATATCAAATATATGTTCAGTCTAAATGACAGTGTAATTTTTCAAATAGAAAAATGAGCAAACTCAGGAGTTCTCAAAAATTACAAGTTGTAATATGAGTAAGAAAAAAACACCATTCTGATGTCAATAAAGAAGAGTTGTTGAAATATAACTGTTGCAAATGAAGTGCTGCACTCTTCATGAAAACTTGTCTTTAAATGCTGGAAATTTATGAACTGTTATCTGTTGTTTTTTGTTATGATTCACCAAGACTTTAAAAATACCAATACCTCTGATGTATCCACAAAATCCAGAGGGATGACATTTTTGTGACATTGTAAGATATTAAACATTCAAATTAGAACATAGTGAAATGCAGGGTCACAACACAGTAGTACGTGAATAAAAGAAAGAAAGAAAACAACCTTATGTATTGACACAGAGCAACTAAAAAGAGAGAAGCAGTAGAAATGGGTACAAGAAAGGCATTTGGTTTGACTTTTGGGTAAAAGTAAAATATGTAAATCTATAAATGGAAATATGTTCTATAAAGAAAAAATGAAAATGCATATTCTAAACCCCAATATCTACTTTACCCTCAGACTCTAAATTAAATATAACTAGACTTACTATGTATTTGTAAATGTTCTTCTACTGCTTTATACAGTACACAGTATAAAGTTATACACTCTCTTCTCTTCAATTCTGTACCAAACTGAATCCATAATAATAATAAAAAAGGTCAAAGAAAACACTGGCTGTTTCCAGTGACAGTTCTGTATGTGCTCATCACCTTGTGCTGGAAAAGGAAGTAGTAAATCTTTAGAACAGTTCATAAAGCAGCTTCTGTACTGTCCTTGAAAAATGCACTGTACAATGGCAAATAATATATTTATAGTCTCAACTTTTATTTGATGATTTATCCATAAAAACTACTACTTTCAGTGTAACTCATGTACATCTTTCTTCTCATTTTTTACATATAATATTTACGACTGCTAATGACTGCAAATGTGATGATGTGTTTATGACATGGTCATTGAATGAATTGACATCCGGGCTGCAGTAGAAATTCAAACATCTGTGAATCAGTAGGAAATGTAAATGTAGCTATTTTGAGACTAATGTTTATAGCACACATGTGAGAAGCTGCTGCCTAAAGTCCTGTCTAGGTCTTTGTTGTATTTTTAATACTAGAGAGACAAAACAGGCTAAGGACAATACAGTAAAGGAGTGATTCTGTTTTTTTTGAACAATTTCAATTGCATGTTAAGGAAAACATTGCCCAGTGTTGGTTTTCCTAACTACACAAACAACAGTAAGTGACACAAAATAGGAAATATTTACACAAGTGTCATAGAAATTTTACATTTAACCTAGGCTTTTCACAGAAAATGTTTAAACTCAAAAACAAGTAAGACACATGAATCTTCTATTCCAAGTAGAGCTAAACAAAGCATGCACAGATCAACAACAGTAAATGTTTCCTTAATATAGACGCAGAGAGTATTTACAAGTTGTGTTGAAGTGTGTTGTATCAAGAATATATACATGTCCTCAGAAAATTCTTTAAAGGCAAAATGTTAATGACTGTGGCACACTACTGATGCCTTCAGTAATGATTCTTCAGGTTCGTTTCATCTCACCTGGAAGACAAAACATTGATTATTAGAATTAAATATCAAAAAAATTAACGTTGATATAGTTTACAGAATAAATTTTTGGAGAAGAGACAAAGAGGATCCATTGAATGAGGGACATATAGACAGTATGAAGTGCAAGCATTGAGGAAGTGAGCTAAAGTTTGTCTTTTGTGCTCTTTGTAGCCATGCTAGCACAGTAGCTCTAGCGAGGGCAACGGCGGTCAGTCCAGACTGAAATATCTCAACTACCGGATGCTTTGTCATGAAATTTGGTTCACTTTTGTGTAGAGCTATCAACAGGTCAAAAATGTAAAAAATAAATACATGAAAAACTGATGACATTCCCATCAGCCTCAGCTGAACTTTGTGTTTGGTGCTATGTAAATGTTAGCATGCTAAAATGCAAAACTAAGGTAGCGAACATGACTCCATAATAATGGTTTTCCTTTGTTATCTTGCTTGTCCATCCTTCCTGCCGCAGCTGCCCTCAGATTCCTCTTTTCTGCTGAGTCCACTTGCCTCTGCACTGCAGTCCATATGATAAGGGGAGCCAATCTTATTTAAAAACACAGGGATGGATGGCACTCTTGTGCATACAATGAGAAAGCCAAATCCAAGACATTTAGCCAGATGGTCTTTTGAGAGCAGCAATGACCTGAAGGTTAAACAATAGGGATTACATGCTAGTTTGTTGCCTGTTTGAATCCCCTGACTGACCTCAGCCTAGATGCATAACATGTACACAAAAATCAATATCTGTCCTGACTCCCATACAGAGCAAATGTCTGGTCTTATTTATTTATTTACCTTAATATTGGACTGAGCAGAGAGCCTTTGTTGGAGGGTCTGTAGCTCTCTCTCTTTCAGTGCCAAACTGTCTTCCTGCAGCTTCTTCTGATCTCTTAGCCGGTTCTGCTCAATCAGTAATTTCTCCACCTGAACCCAATATGCATGTGTTATTTCAAATGGAAAACAATGTACAAAAAACATTCATTTTACATCTCTTATGCAACTGTATGATTCAGGTTTGTGGTAACAGATAAAACAGGAGGAGATCACAAATTTACTTTTATAACCAGATACTGATTGAATCAGCTGGTTCCATGGACCACTCCCTTGGTTCCCACCTACACACATACATCTATGCACAAATATCATCTACCTGGTCATCATGAGCCTTTTGCTTGAGCTGTAGCTGGTTGGCGGCCTCACGGGCTGCCTCGCTGTGATTGCGCTCACACTGCTGCAAATCAGAGGTCAAATGGGAGTTCTGCACCTCCAGACGACTAGACAGGTCTTGGATCTCGGCTACCTGGAAGAAGAAAACATTTTTTTTAAGAAGTGTGATATATTAATGCATGACTTGTGTGTGATGACAGAAAAAGGTAGAAAGAGTCTCTCAGATAAATGGCCTGTGGTTGAAGGGGTCTTATTCGATTGCACCTGATGTGTTTCCAGATCCAAACAAAGAAATGATTAATTTGTTTATGGAAAAGTTGAAATTGTGCCTGCATAAAAATAACTGATAAAGAAGGTAAGAAAAAATGTGAACATCCACAGTGAAGACACATTCCAGCAGCAAAGCAAAAAGATTATTTTTGACATCGCAGTGATTGTTGTATCTATAAGAAATATTGCTTTATAGCGTAGAGACTTGCTGAGGGCATGTTTTTATTGTCCTGCACAGTGCTGCTGTATCAGCAGAGCCATACGCTTCAACTCTGCTTTGACCCTGAGTTTGCCTCAGAGGATGTCTGTCTCTTTAGCTAGATTTATCATGAATGAGGCAGATGTTAGGCAGTTGTTATCAGTTCCACAAAAGAATCTCTAAACTGATCAGATGGTTTCATATAAATTACTTTTCAAGGCCTGAAGAGGTAAAAGTATCAAATTTAATAAAAAAGGATTAGACAAAGTCTGAACATTGTATAGCAGAACTTTTTGTCTCTCCTACCAGATTTATCTTGTGATCACTTTGAAGGACCAGACCCCTAGATTGACATTTTTCTGTAGGATGAGTACTTTTAATACTTTATGTGCATTTTGCTAATAATAATTCTGTACTTTTACCTAATAAATGTAATGCAGGATTTTTACCTATGGAGAATCTGAGTACTTCTTCCACCGCTACATATTGGTCTATATTTGAGTTTATTCTAGTTCCTATTAATTAATTGCCAAACGCATCTCAAAACTGTGTATTCCAGCACACATTGTGTGGCGTTAGAGAGAAGCCCTGGACTAGAGACTATCCATCTGTCATTTAAAATACTACCATCAAGTCAGAGAATCACACACCTCCTAGAATCACAAAATATGTTGCACACACCTTGTTGCCCACTTTGTCTAAATATAGCTGGAACTTATGCTCCACGTCTCTGGACAAGTTCGTGCAGCTGTTTCTTATCTTCTCCATTTGCTCCTTCTGGCTGTCACAGGTGAGGTGAAAGGTCATCTGGTGGGGAAACAGGTTGTTGATCTTGTTCAGAAAATCCCTGGTCACCGTTTGGATCCCGTCCAAAGAATGAGCAAAGTCCTCTTTGCACTTCCTAAATAAATCAAACAAAAATATGTGTTTAATCTTAATATTTTCAGTTGTACACACGGAGCAGACAGACTAACAGGCCGTACCTGGTGTAGGTGGTCAGCTGCTCCTTTAGCATGGTATTGTCCCGGCGCAGGGTGATGGCATCTTGGTGGTGTGTGTCTCGGTCTTTGAGAGCGTTGTCTCTCTCCTGACTCAGATAGTGAACCATCTGAGTGAAGTTTGCCTCAATTAAATTTATTCTAGCTTTTTGCTGCTCGTTGAGGGTCTGCAGAGTCTTTATTTCACCTGGAGGGTTCAGTGAAAACCAACTTAATCACAGCAAAACTTTAACAGTTTCTGTTTGTTTTGTTTAATATTCTGGTTTCTTATTCTCACTTCTTATGTTCTTAATGTTTATTAACCATTAATAAAGCCATTACTTACAACAATATTATTTTTACTTAACTGTGTCTGAAACTGTTGGCTTTCCTTGCATACTATATATTATTATTTTACAGTCAATTCTGTTTCTGATGCAGGGAATGTTTAATAACAGAGTAATTTTTCACATTATCTAAACAGTATTAGACCATTAAAGTTTTCCCAAAAAGTATGGTATTGGAGTACATACTGTTGCTGTTGACCGTAACAGGGGGCTGGAACGGAGGCGGACGCCGCACCATCATGCTACTTATACAGGTAGCCTTAAAATTAAATTTAAAAAATTGAAATGTGTAATGTAATGATATAATATATAACAGTCACAGGGGGCATTTTTTGCATCAAGTACTTGAAGTACATTTACCTCATTACACATGGTTTCACTTAAGTAACATTTTGAAGACAGGACTTTTACTTGTAATCAAGTATTTTTACAGAGTGGTATTTCTAGTGAGTTTCTGTGAAAGATTCTTTGAATTTCTAGTGAATGAGGAAACAATCATACTGTATAATTTGCACATTGTAAAAACCTTACTTTTAACCTTGGTATGTTCTTGTTGTAAAGATAATATTTCAAAGAGGAGTTAAAAACAGCTGCACAAAATTACCTGCTTCTCATTACATCTTAGCAAAATATAAAACAAGTCATCTACTTACTAACTTGACATTTAGCCCATGTTCTGTGTTGTTGGCATCAGTCTTCAGCTTTACCAACTGTTTCTCCAGAACACCTTTCTCAGCTGTGCGGGCTGCCAGCTGAGCTCCCAGCTCGCCTTTGTCCTTTCTCAGCTGGATGTTGATCTCACTCAGCCTGTTGAAGTTCAGCTCCAGCTCCTTCGGAATAACAATCAGATCACTTGGCATCATCTTCACTATATTTTACAGCAATGAACATGTTAATATAATGCTGTGAAATGAAAAGATAATAGTAGTATGCCAATAAAAAGTATTAGTTATAACAGCCTGCACAAACACACAAGAGTTTGATTGAAAGCTGCTGCAGAAATAAGCCCATTTAATTTCTGAAGTCCCCTTCCACTAAAAATGTGTCTGTGATTTTAATGTTTGTTTGTGGATAAACTACATCAGACACAAATTATTATTCAAAGACGAATATTTTTATGTCTTAAAACATGTCTGGAAGAGGGCCTTTAATACCTGACAAAATAAACTAATGAGTTATTGTAGAAGAAATTACTGACCTTGACCCTCTTTTCCTCTGCAGACTTCTCTGGCTGTCCGTAGATGAGGAAGAGCACCAGGCTGACGATGATCAGAGACTGGATCAGAGAGGAAAAGAAGAAGACAATCCTCATGTAGTAGCCGCAGCTCTTCCCTTTGGGCTTGTGCAGGGGCTCCCTTGCCTCCAGGCCAAACTTGGCCCGGGAGTAGCTGGAGCTGTACATGGCTGTTGGAGGTGAAATGGTGGCAGCTGGTGTTGGGAGATCTAAACAGGAATTGTTTTTGCCAAAATCCACAAGGTGATCTTCTCTGCAGAAAAGGTGCTAAGACTTCAAGGTGAGCACTGTCACACAGTTATGGAAGAAAACCCAGTAGTGAGCTGTTTATTGCTCTTCTTTTGTCTCCTACAGCTCTGCCACACTGCCAAGGTGCAGAAACATACAGGGTGAAATGGCATCAATGGATGGATGTAAACAATGACCCTTAGGTGTGTAAAGGGGCAATGTTTATAAATGCTGCTGGAGTCACACTTCCAGTCCATCCTGGCCCAGGCCACGCCTCCCTTCCCCTCCTCCCTCATCGACCTCTGTCACAGTTACAGCCTCCAGCTGCACCACTGCCCAAGTGATCATAAATTTTCCTAGTAGTATAAACAAAAGGAAATTGCTGGGACAGGAATATTAAATAAGGTTTTAATACACATAAATATACTCCTCTTGGAATAATAATTTGTGTCAACTCCAGGCTTTTTGAATATGCAAATATTTTTTCTTTTAAAAGTTTATCTAATACTCCTGCTTTACTCCAGACTCAGTGTAGGTGCACTAAGGGTGGGTGGATCGTTCCCCAAAAGGACCAATTTTACTGATACTAGTCTTGCTTTGAGTTTCAATACTATGATTGATGCCAAAAAACGGATCCGTCTCATGTTACTATAGATCATGTTCTAGGCTTTTTGAATTTTCTTGCTGCAGTAATAGCTTCTCTACTTCTGTTGTTTGCAAAGATCACCTCATAATTAAAGAATGGGTTCACATTTTTTTAAGTTTGTCTTTAGACAATAGTCAGGTAAGTCTTCTGAAACATGTTTTGCTTGCTGTAACCATTCATCCTGTTCCTACTGGCCAGATCCCTGCTTAATCCACTTCCACTGTGACAGGGGACAAAATCTACCGTCCTCATTCTTTGCAAACAATGTATTCAAAGCTTTATATGAAGTTAATATGGGGCTTGTGGAGTGGCTCTTTGTCAAAATCTAGTTTTCAAACTTGCATTATAATAGATTTAAATAAGTATGATACTTTGTGGATAATCATGTGTTTTAAATGTAAAATGTAGTAGAGCATGAGTAAAAAGTAGCATAAAATTTAAATCACCTAGTTCTAGTATTTCAAAACTGTACTTAAGTGTAGTGTGAGTAAATATATTTCCCTTCCACAGTCTGTACGTGATCACCCATCATTGCCATTTTTAAATATAGCTACTACAGATTGTCACAGGGTTCCTGGTCATATTCCCCTGGTGATGGATGAACAATGTAAACCATGTAAGGAGTAAAATCAGAAAACAAAAAAAATTCCATCACATCCTGTTCCATGCAAGCACGGAAGGGAGTCATGGCAGCAGAGGAGTGAAAGAATGAAAACAATAGGGACCTGTCATTCTTCAGGGATGGGGGAATAACAAACTCTCCCTGCAGTACAGACACACTGGATCCCCCTGTGCCGTTATCTGGGGTGATGACGTGAAGAACTGCCGGCTCTTCTAGTGAAGGGTGTGTGAAAGGGGAAAGGTCCTCTGATCCCGAGTTTTCCTGCTCCCCATTGTCTCCCTGACAACCTGTCCTCACCGGAAAAAATTTATGAAGAGTGACAGAAAATTACTCACCATCAGGAGTCAGGGCAGACATTGGATCAACTCCTGAACAAAAACAGGAAACCAAACGGTTGAAAACGGAGATAAAAACACCTCTAAAGATAACAGACCAGACATCTTTAGTGTGAAAGAAAGACATATCTTTACTACTGAAGTAATCTTCAGACCAAAAGCAGATAACAGATACGGTTTCAGTGGAAGCTGCAAGAACTGCTTACTCAGGCTGTCATATAGGCATAGATTCAGAATTGAGTGACGCGAATTATGAAGCTTGACAGCGAATATGTCTGGACCTTTAAGCAGAAAAACTAAACAGACACTTTTGCAATAGGATGTAGAAAAACACTGGCCTATTCTCTACCATCATGGACCAGAGAACCTTTTTGTCAAGGCCTTTTAATTCAGTTACCTCTAGAGAGAATTTGCTGCCATCTCCTGACCAAAAGGTAGAAAAAACAAAATATGATTAAATGTGCCTTTTTTTTAATATCCAGAAACGCCTTCAAAAAAAACAAAATAAAAAGAACTGTACAATGTGTTTCAAGTGCAGTTAGACTGGCAGTACGAGGGCCCTTTTGTACAATGAATCCATCAATGTCTTGGAGATCATTGTCAAAAGAGGAGCCACATCTACATTTCTGTACAAACCATTGAAAAAAAAATAGAACATATACATTAAAACAGGCAACAAATGGTGGAAATTACCAACTAAAAGGAAAGCCAAAGTTACATAAGTTGTGACCTCTCCATGATACAGTAAATTATATTACAGTTCATCACTCAAAAGGCCAGTTACAGAAAACTGTCACAGGTATGCACTGATTTCATCCTTTAAGACTTAAGCTGATGATATACGGAGCTAGTTTTAGAGCAATGTTGTTGTGCCATGTTGGCGTCAATGGTAATGAGTAAAAATTATTACTGTAATCACACCCCCTCCATCCCCGCTCACTCCATCCGTTCAAAACATAGTCAGACTTGCCCAGCAACATTGCTCAAAAAGTTGCCCCGGGTAAGTGTGGTGTAAGATTTTGAAGAAAAAACAAAAGTTAAGGGAGTTAATTTAACATAGCCAATAGACAATGCTTTAACCACGACATATTCCTTTTTTATTCTTTCTTTATCTTCTCCTTCAACTAGTGCCCTGCTCCTGGACTCTCTGACCTCCACTTCATCATCTCATTCTCAGTAGACCTCCAGCAGTTTTAGAGCTAACAACCAGATAATTTTATTACTTCCCCAACTTAGAACAATCAATGACTTGTCCAATGTTTTATGGAAACACAATGACTGAGTTAATAGCAATCTGGTGAAGACCCTCGTCTTCCTTTAGAAGTATGCTTGGTTTTCCAAAATATTCTTAAATTATTGCTCTACAGTTGTTAATTGAAAAAAACCCCTCAGTAATAAGATGTACTTGTGCCCTGCTCTTTTCTTACTACAGTGTGTGAACTTCACAGAGAAACAGGGCTTTATAAGTGCCTGCCATTTTAGACCGTTGCCTCAATGTCCTGGGGGTCTTCCCCCTCCAGCAGGCTGTATGACGCATGGCTCTGGAAAGGTCTTTGTAAAGGGTGAGCCAGAAGTTTGGCCATGCAGTTGTGCAGTTCGATGGCGGGTCCACTCAGGGAAACCTCAAAGCGATAGCACATGCCCTTTGTGTCCAGGTTGCAGAAAGAGGTGTAGTTCTCCTGAAAACATACCATCATAACGAATAAGCATCATGAGCAATGTACAATCCAGAGTCAAATTCCACCTATGTGTACACATACCTGGCAATAAAAGTTGATTTTAATTCTGACCGAAATATCGAGATTATAGCATTATGAGAAAAGCGGTTATATTAAGGTAGGTTTTCATCAAGATAATTCCACACTCTTCTGGCTTATTAAGATTGACAGAAGTATTTAAAGAGGTCATATTATACTCATTTTCAGGTTCAAAATCTTATTTAGGGGTTGTACCAGAACAGGTTTACATAGTTTAAGTTTTGTCATACTGCACTGCATTGCTGCAGCTCCTCTTTTCACCCTGTGTTGAAGGCTTCGTTTTAGCTATGGAGTGATACATCTTACCTCCACAAGATCTTTGTTGGGAGCTGCACATGTGCAGTTCCTAGTTAAGGACTACTAGCCAATTAGAAGCAGAGTAGGGCAGGGCGTGAGAAGCCAGTAAACATGGCTTCGGTTCAGCTGTATATGTTCCCCATACCAGCTTAGCAACACGGACAGGAGCAAGATTTTCAGAGTGGTGAGTTATTAATCTGTAACAAATGTATCTTTCATCCATAATGTTTTAACTGAGCTCTGTCTCTACATCACAGTAACAACTTTATGTCCATTGACTGCCAGGAGGGTAGCTAGTGTTTGGAAGGGAGAGGAGAGGCAGCAGGTGGACGTCTTGTCACTGTGTGCTGCAGCTCAGTGTGTTTTTCCACCAGTGTTTTTGAGTGTGTGTCGGACTAGCCGCTTGGCGAACATTATGACGCGCATGTTGCGTGTTGTCAGAGCAGCGTTTTCTGTGGGAGATTGGAACTCCCTTTAGGGTGGACTTTGGGCCTTTTCACTTTGCAAACCTATTACATGCACAAAAAAGTTGTAAAAGATATAACTCAATTAAGGAGACGGAAAAAGCCAAAAAGTATTATATGACCTCTTTAATTTAATTCACGGCAAATATAGGAAAGTACGGAGCCACTGCAGGGTCTTGGTGGGGAACTACTTCCAACATTTTGTGTTTCCTTGCAATATTTTTGCAATTCCCCCGGATCCACAGGAACAGTTAATATGTTGATCTAGTCCAGTTATAGCACACTGCCAGTTCAGGGAAACACTCTGCAGATACTACAGAAAGAACACATGATGTGACACTTTACATTATGCATTTATTGCTCATTACTCCTTTTGAAAGGCCAAGCTCCAACAGTATACAGCTACATGCTGTGAGCCACAGCTGCAGCTGCTCTTCCTGGCTGTGCAGTTCAAAACTATGGTTGTGGTCCTGGTTATTGCTCGAACAACAGCTGCATTTGTGGCTGAATCTATGATGCCATGAATATGGCTATTGCTGCTGCTGTATTGTGGCTACTCTTACTGCTCCTCTTAACATCAATCAAGAAAGCAGTTAAGCCATACAGGACTTGAACCCGAGATGCTTATATCAGATATAACAGACGTGTTACCCGTACGCCACAGGAGTTAAGAAATACACTAGCTTCAATACATGTTCAGCCAGCACAACCATGTCAGTTCACTACATGTACATTACATTAAATTTATTTTGTTGACTGTTTTATCCATAGCGACTTACAATAAGTGCATTCAAGCAGGTATACAATCTAATTGCTAGAACCATCATAAGTACAACTTAAAGGGGTAATTTGCAATTCTTATGCAATACACTTTTTGTTAAATTCGGCGAATATTTCCTCATGGGTTGGTAGCTCTCTGTTTTTCGTGTGCTCTGAAAAAGAATCCGGTTTTCCTACACAGCCCCTGGGTCTGTAAATTCAGCACAAACAAAGCTGCTCGGAGCGAGCAGCAGGTGGCGGTGGCGCGCTCGAAGCAGTGGGAGAGAGAATGTAAACAAACAGCGGTACATTCAAACATGCTGGACTCATTACGGAGCTTTAGCTGTCAAGATGGCTGAGAAACACCCAAAGAGGGAAAGGTCTGAGGAATTGTGAGACAAGTTATATGACCAGGCGAGGGGAAGACCTGTGTTAACATCTGTGAGGGGTTTCAATGCTGGAAAAATCTACGAGATTTGAAAGGAATGAAAACCGATGCTGGGGTTGTGCTGTTTCTGCTGGACAGGTGAGTAGGCTAACGCATCAGAATCGCATAGTGCGTTGTAGTGTGGTAGAACTTGGGTAGGTTAAAGACCAGTCGGTCTGTTGCATTTTGGATGAGCTGCAGAGGTCTAATGGCACATGCAGGCAAACCAGGCAGGAGCGAGTGGCAGCAGTGCATGTAGTCAGTGTTACACCCATACTTAACTACTGTGTCACAGCCATAATCATAACAACCAAAGTGCAGCCCTGGCTACATTATCTATGTAGCTGCAATGAAACAGACTTGCCTCTGAGCCAGTCACAGGTGAGGCTGCGCCCACTCACGCTGTGTTCACAACATAATATTATATGATAATACAGCTCAGCATTTCTCTATGGATCAGAGGAAATGAAAGAAAAACAGAAAATGAATTTCTACTGGGACACTAGTTAGTACTGAAGTACTGAAATACACCACACCAAACAAATGTAAGCCACACTACAGCATACATCCTGGAACACAATCAAAACTGATCCGTGTCCCTTTGTCAGTTTATTCACTCACCCTCCAGCTGGTCTCATCCCCCTGTTCCTCCACCCCGTTGTGTAGGTAGACCACATCAAAGAAAAAATATGGAGACTGCAGCATTTTCTGTACCGGGACACAACAACAAGTAAGATTTGCGCTTTAGTGAAGTTAGTGCAGTAATCAAAGCAGCCAATAACTTACTAAGAGAGAAAAAAAAATCAAGAGGAAAATTAAATTCATATTAATAAGACTGGAAGAGGGCTATCACTGCAGTTCTCATACATACACTAACAGCCTCAGAGGGGTTGAACTGAAGCTGTCCCGCATGACGGCTGTAGATGAGCACAGTCCGCACCACATATGGAGGAGGGACGGTCTGGACATTCTCCATCAGCGGCAGCTCGATCTTCTGACGACTAAAATACAACAGAGAAGACTTTCAGTAAACACTTCCACTTAAAGATTTATGTATTTTAAGAAACCATAAAGGTTTATAGTCAGACAGTACTTACATGACATTAAGAAGATCTTCCAGGTCTACAGAGAACAATTAAGGTGAATATATTGCTTCATAGTAGGAAATTTATCTTCATTGTTTCAGGGTTAGTTTTAAATGAAAGGATACTGAAGGACTCGCACACATTGGTCTCAAGGTCATACAGACAGCTACACAGCTCTCTGGGGTCAGAGGTGAAGCCTGACAACTGAGGCACATACAAATATACACATGAGGAAAAAGAAGACAATGTACTAAAACAATGGTATACATGTCGCATAGATAAATTGCATAGACACTAGATATGTAACATTTGGAGCAAATTAAAACTGTACTCACCCACAGAGCGTCATCATTGACTACTACCAGGGCAAACTCATGCCGTTTGTCAATTTTGTGTTTAGTTCTGACAAACATTTCAATCATCTTCTGGCAAATGTTCAGGGCATTTGTTTTAGTCCTAAATAGAAAAACAGTCAAATTAGGCAGTGATGACAAATGAAACACTAGCATTGAGAAATAATGTTATAATGTTTGCACAACACAAATCCAGAGTAATACACATGTAAATAACTGCCACAGTTGGTTTTCTTTTACACATTGTTCTATGATTCCTTTATAACTTCATATAAAAGCATATGTTTATTCCATATTTATGTATTTTTACATTTATTTATGTCAATGTCTAGCAAATTCCTTGTATGTGTAAACTACTATTTGGCAATAAACCACTTTCTGATTCTGATAAAGGTTAATTAAAATATTGTAGTTTACCCATTAAAAGACTCCAACTTTGGCAAAGACATCTCTTCAGACAGGTCCAAGCAGATGATCTGCCATGAGGAAGACAATACCAGATAGTATAAGCCTTTTGGTAAAACAAGTCTTAGTTTTCATGTAGTAGTAGTAGTAGTAGTAGTTTTCAACTGTAATGTGGACCTACCACTTTCTCTGGACAGTTGACTCTGGGAACTCTGAGCTGGTACTCTGCTGGTGGTGGGATGGAGGCTGTTAATGTGGGTTGCTGCTGTGTGGTTTTTGGCCTCTCTTTTGCTGCAGTGGATAGTGGCACTGTGGCACTGGCTGCAGCCACTGCTGCGGCTGCTGCAGGAGTTCCAGTCTGAGCTGCAGCTGCTAAGACGGTTGTAGTGGTGGAACTCGGAGGACTGTCGCTGGCTGAAGCCTCGCCCTCCCCCTCAACACGACTTCCTACAGCGGGCTGAGGTATGTTAGGGTTACTGTTTCCTCCAAGGCTGCCCGTGCTGCTGCGACGGTCCTCGGCCCCTTCAGGGTTGGAGCGTGTACGAGGTCGCAGCTCCACCAGACGCTCCTCTCCATCTGCTGGGCCCGGTTCTGGCATTTCCATGAATACACGGGTTGCTAAGGAAGTGGAGATGATCAGTTTGGCAAGTTAGTTTAGTCATGAATATAAGCTGTTAACACAGTTTAACCCAAAATGTCCTTTACATTTACCTGTGGTTGGCATCCACTGACATTTAAATATAATATAAAGTGATGCCAGGTAAACTTTCAGCTTACGTTTGTACTCTTCTCTGTCTCAACTCTGGTAGTTACCAGCTAAGTTCCTCCAAGTGGTTGCTTTTTAATGTACCCTGGGTTTTGACACATGTTGGGAAAACTGCATTTTCATACTATGCACCTGGGGCATGGAATAATTTGCAGAAAGATCTAAAATAAGAGACATGTATATCAATTGATGAATTTAAGGGTGTCACAAAGAATGTGATGAAGGAGGCATGTGGTTGTTTTTCATGAGAGTCCATTGTGTTTGAATAACTGTTCTTTAATGTGTTTATTGTGAATTTTGTCACGTTGTGTGTGTTGCATTTTATTATGTTTCTGTATGGCTGCTACCTTTGCCAGGTCTCTATTGTAAACGAGGTTTTTGATTTCAAAGGGACGTCCTTGTAAAATAAAGGTAAAAAAAAAAAATTAATTAAATGTAAATAAAAGTCAAATTCCCCCAGTTTGCTTTCTACCTGCCTCTAAACAATTGCGGCTGTATAAATCCTAAACAAATGTCAATAAGAGTTACTTTAAAATGTCGGCACAAGAAAGCTGTATGAATCTCAGACTTACTCCTGCCCACAACACCACTGTCTATAACTTTATAATCGTATTTCTACTTTCAAAATCACGCAGGTCATCATGTATCGTTACACTGTTGCGATTGTGTACTTATGAAAGCAAAGTACAGTGTGTAGCTGGAAAAAAAAAACAGAGGTGTTTCAGCTTTACGGAATGGATGGTTTAATTAGAAATGCATCAATTATTATTATTATAATTATTATTATACCAGAATGAGTCCATGTAGCTAACAGGCTGGTAGAGCAAGGAGATGCTTCATGACAGCGCAGTAGTGTGAGCTGTATTAGCTTCAAGAGAAATTAGAGCAAAGCAGACGACGACTCGAGACGTATGACATGTATTATGTTAAAATGTGTAAGTATACTTACGTGATAAGTATTGCGAAACTTCTAGGATTCAAATAAGTTGGAACTCATTGAAAGTTGCAAAATATTTCAACAACGAGCTAACATTTGTTTTGGTCGGACGACTTCCTTACCGGAAATGATCAAATCCGGAAGTGTCCTGGCATTATGGGTAATAGAGTTAAATTAGAGTAAAAAAATCTTCTGCCTTTTCGTTTTCCACAATAAATAGCCATAATAATACATCATAATTTATTTGTCCGTTTGTATTATTAATCTGAATCTACAAAGTCATTAATATCAGAATCAGAATCAGTTGTTTTACACATACGAGGAATTTGCTGTGGTGATAAGGTGCTACACGTAGACAAACATACAGTCGACATAAATAAATGTAGAAATATATATATATGGAATAGAAGAAAACATTGCAGATATATACGTGTGCATTATTCTGGGTCTGTGCCGTGTAGAAGTAACGCAACGGAAGAGAATATTGTATATTATATAGAATAGTGTACATACAAATATATAAACTGACAACATAAAAATATACAACAACAAAGATCAACAATCAACAACAAATATGTGCAACGTGCCAGGTCCGTGCACGACACGAGATGAAACAGTATTTACATGTGCAGAGACATTCGTATCATTTGTAGTAAATAAAGGTATCAAAAAATGTAGTGATTAAAAACATATCCGTACATTAAAAGGATATGGGGCAGCCACTTCCATAGCTTTATACCTTCAGTGGAGGTATAGCACTGTCTGTGCAGCGAATAGAGAGATTGGAAACTACCACTTAAGTTTGTGCAATGGTCCAAACTAATTGTCATTTCATACTAGGTATAGAATGTAACTAAGTACATTTACTTAAATATAAGTTTGAGGTACTAAACAGGTTCTTTACTTGAGTATTTAATTTCATGCCACTTTCTACTTCCAAATCACTACAGGTCAGATAGAAATATTGTATTTTTTACTCCACTACAATTATTTGAAAGCTATAGTTACTATTTCCTTTACAAATCAAGATTTTTGTATAAAAATTTGCTCAGAATTTTTACAAACCAAACGATCGTTCAATTGATTCATTGAGAAAATAATCATCAGATTCATCCATAATGGTTCCATTAGTTGCAGTCCCATACAAAATTGAAAAAAATAAATAAATAAATACTCCACCTCAACCAATTACATTACATTAATACATAAGTAATAATCCTACGATAATAGTATAACATTTTCATCTGCATTGAGTACTTTTACTCTTAATACTGGTATATTATCCCTTTTATTTTATTTTATTTTACTAATTTTATATTTATCTGTATTTTAGTCTTTTCAGTGTTTTCATGCTTTTATCTTGTATTGTTTTTTGTATTATTGTCTCTTGGGTATTATTGTCTATTAAACTTGTTAAAGCACTTTGTAACTTGTTTTTGAAAAGTGCTCTACAAATAAGGATTATTATTATTATTATTTTCCTGAATATACGTGCATACTTTTACATTTGCGGTACATTTACATTTTCAATGCAGGGATTTTACTTGTAACAGAGTGTTATTAGTACTTGTATTTAAGTAAATGTAGTTAATACCGCCTACACCACTGGCAGTATGTATCCAGAGTTGACTCACGGTCTACTATTAAAAAGGCATGGAAGCTAACTGTGGACAAAACAGGAAAGGACACATGGTGACGAGGAATGGGTGGGGATGACTTTCAGAGTGTTTTCCACTTACTTCATTCATCACACTAAACACTGTTTGGCAGACATGCAGAGAATAGACTGCAGTAGTCACTGACTAACTAGTGGAAAAAATGATAACATAAAACAGCAGGACTGAAGAAAACATGGTTTCATTTTGGCAGTGAACCGTCACATCAGGAACTAAATTACTGCTGCAGATATAAGGATCAAGAAGTATGGAGGTAAGATCTATAGACACAATGATTATACGCATTATATCCTTCCCCTGAATGTGGGAAGGATATAATGCGTATAATACTCGGGTGAATTTGAGACTAAATTGACAGAAAGTGTAAATATGAGTGCAGCCTTTCTGTGTCTCTGAATAGGAATAGGTGGGCTAAGCTGAAGTATTACAGGGTGGCTAAAGAATTTAAGGTATGTCGCCAATTATTGCCTGCGCAATATATGTTAGAATTCACATGATCCAAAGAAAAGCATTGTAAATTTTATAATTCTGGCATATTTATAAGGCACCATATGTTTTTTATACTAGAAAAGAGAGACATTTTGTTCTAATTTCATGTTTAGGCATTTAGCCGACATTCTTTGAGCACAACAAAAGATGGTTTGGTCCACAAATATTTGCTCGGCAGGAAGTTGGATCTCAGGATGTTTTAGTTTCCTTTTCCGCTGCTTAAAACAATAGCCGCTAATTAGTACAGCAACAATGTCTGGTTCAAGAGCATAATAGAATTTTAATGTTGCTCTATACTTAGGGATTATTTTGCTAAATTACGAGCCATTCTTCAGTGGAGGATTATTCACAGGCAGCAAGAACATACATATTATGTTTATTGTATTGGTACAGATATGCATAGGACTGAAGGGAAAAAATAAGAAATTTTCTCTAATATATAGTTAAAAGCTGAAATTATGACTCAAACAACCACCAACTTATTTTTTTACAATCCAAATATAACTTCCTGTTTCTGCAGCACTCCAGTCTAGTCAGATGTGACAGCCTGGATGCAGGATCAGGGTGTGATGGGGAGGCGATCGACCACATGGCCCTTGACCGTGATGGCACTGACCACACAGCAAACTTCGAGCCTTCACCAGCAGAACTGGCTCAGTGTGAGGCTGAAGTGGGCACACTGCTCAGCATCATTGCTGAGCTGAACAAGAAGATGGGGTCATTAAAGGCACCAAGGTATCATTGAGAGTGTGATTTTTGAAACTGTGGCATTGATAAGAGACATCAAATGGATCTGAATGAATGGATTTGAGTTTGTCCAAAATACCTATTTTGTTGGAACCATATTTGTTCTCACATAATTTCCCATCAATAATGATATATTGGTCTACTTATGGCTTGTCTCAAAATAAACACACTGGTGTTTTCTAGCAAAAATGTTAATTCTACTGGTATTCTACAGTGAACCAGAGGACCTGAGACCACCACAGCCATCCAGGCCTCTGGTTCCAGACCTTCTGTCCCACAGGCTGCCCAGAAGCAGCCCAGAGAGCAACACGGCCTCTGCCACATCTAAACCTCCACTGCCTGGCCGAGGTTGGCACTGACACAGAATAACCGTGTCTTTATTCAGTATAACACATATTTTGGATTCTGTGCATGTTAATCCAACTGGGCCAGACAAGAAATGTGTCCAAAAAACAACTGATGTATTATTTTAAATATTTATTCTGTAAAAGAGAGCAAGTTATCTTGAGGAAAAGCAAGCAATACAAACACAGTAAGCTAAAAAGATTAAACCTGCCCTTCACTTCATCTAACATGATTGACTGTATCTCTACTTTTCCACTAGGGGCCGGTGGGGTAGTGTGGACAAAACTCCAGGAGGTTTTATCATCAGTGGAGGACTCCATCAGCTGTAAAAGGTCCTGGGCCGCCCCCATCACAGCTTCTGACCAGGACAAGCACAACGAGCATCTGAGAGCAGCCCAGGAGAGCTGGGTTAAGGCCACTCAGGTGTTGAAATTGTAAAAAATTCTTACGATTCTTTCTTTGATGTATTTTAATTTTTCTTATTAGAGTGGCAAATATCAAGCAAAACTAATGTTAGGTCAAATGTACTGACAATTTTTGCAAAACCAACTCAATGGAAATAGTATAAATTTCAAAAATGTCATACATTGCTATGTCTGTCTGAGTTGTAATGCATCAATTTTTGGTTGCAGATATTGGAAGACATGGAAAGAGAGTTTGGGATTTCTTGCCCATCAGGCTTGCCAAAGTACCAGTATCAGGGCGACATCCTGAGTCTGGAGAAGCGTGACTCTGCTCTCAGAAGCACCTTGCAGAGTCACCAGGAGGAGCTGGATAAGGCACAAAGCACCATCAGCCAGATGGAAGAGGAGAAGAACAAGGTGGGAGATGCTCTGCTATCAGTTTTGTTTATGACAAGGGTAAAGCAAAATATAAAAATGCCAAAAACAAGAATCAGTTTAGGAAGTATGAGTACATTTCCAGAAGAAAAATCTTTCTCAAATGTTTGGCTGATCAATTTACAGAGCTAAAGACAAGACTTTATAAATATTCAGTATGAATGACCTGTGTTTATTGGTGGCTATAGGAGGTCTGATCATAGTGATGTTAGAAATACCTGTACATACCAAAGTGGTTGATTTTGCATGTTATCAGAACAAATTTGAGGAGTTCAAAAAGCATGTTCAGGTGTGAATAAATGTAGAATCCCTACTCTTGTTTTTCAGCTGGTTGGTCTCCATAAGGCCTTGAGGTCAAGCAGTCGCTCTCCTCCCTACCGGCCCACTGCTGGAGCTCTCAGTCCAGACTGGGCCTCTCCTCCCTTTCCTGGTTCACCTTTACCCCACAGAAGAGCTGTAACACCTCTCTCTCTGGGTGGGGATGGTTCTCCACTGGGCTCTGTTAAGTCATGCAGTCCTTGTCCCAGCCCTATCAGCCTGGAGTCTGAGACAGAGCGACTGAACAGGTGAGTCTGAGGAGCAGCTCAGGATGTTTCAGAGAAACAAAAAGCTTTGTTTTGTTGAGATACCTACCCTGAGACCTATTTATATAACTGAAAAATTAAGATAAGATACTAAAGATGTATATTGGTATATTGAACAATATTATTTCATTTATACCAAAACAAAGGTCCAGACAAGACACACACACACATACTGTGTAGAGCATGTTAGCAGGATTGTAAATTATGCAAATACTACAGGTCTTCAGGCTGAGTATATTTAATAGCTACTTTGACCTTTGAAGAGCAGGTAGGCAAGCTAGCTAATGTATGTAAGTTGGCATGGCTACGCTGAATATCTAAATAGGTATAAACCAGTGATTTTTTTGGTAGGCTTAACTCAACCAATACAAGAAAAACTGTTTCTTCCTTCACAGAAGATTTACTATTTGTATAATTAAAACTCTTTATACAACAAAGGAGTTCCCTCCAGTTTGTTAACTTAACCCTCCTTATCCTCTCCCTCATTATCCTAGGTGCATTGAGAGGCTGAGGGCCAGAAATGAACGGCTGACTGCAGCTCTGGAGCGAAAGAAGGGAGAGTCAGAACTGATCAGTATTACACTAAACAGACTTGAGGCTGACTGCTCTGCCCTGCAGATGGCTCTCAGATACTGGTACACAAATAAAACACACCTGACACACAAGTACAAAGGCCTGTCTACACACATATGCATATTCTTTGTCAATAACATTCTTTGACATGTGTCAAAATAATGAATGTGCACAGGTCAGCAATCTAACAATGTAGGTTATTCTCATCTAGTGAGGTTGTATTTTATCTGTGTGGTTGTGATTGACAGTGAGGACTGTGAAGAGGCCTACAGCGAGCTGCTGTCACTTTATGACGCCAAGAAGCAGCAAAGCATTCCTCTGCAGACAGACTCAGCAGGTGTTTGAATACCATGGTTTAATACTGCTTACATCTCAGTGCACACATCCACTTACATAGAAGCTATGCATGTCATTCACACACACACGCGAATACACAGGCTCACAGTTTTTCCTCCCATCAGAAGCTGTCTGTGACAGGCAACAGCCAGACAGTCCATCAGCGCAGCTCAAGAAAATGGGAACTGAAGAGCTGTCCACCTCCTTCTCAACAGCAGGGGTCACAGAGGAGACGGAAACACAGACCCATGCAAGGCAGAGGTGAGGTTTTATAGTGCCCTTTGTACATTCAAGCACAGTAATGGGAGTGAGAGGAGGAGATGAGACTGACTGACTGAAATTGCAAATAGAAAGGATAAAAGTTTACAAGCATTGCATATGTGATTCTGTCCCACCACCAAATATCTACACACTATTGACGAAATGTTTCAAAAGCTGTGACTCAATGTAGTGTGAAAATAAAAAAAGAACATTTGAATTATAAATGGCCATTTCTTGAACCACGTTTTTGTCAGGTCACTCACTACCTGTAACCCCACAGGACCGAGTTGGTGGAGCGAGAGACAGTTCTCCGTCAGCAAATTGAACGCTTGAAGAGGGACCGGGCAGCCCTTTGTCTACCTAAGCCAAGCTCAGGATTTGAGGGCAAAATGAACGCTGAAACTGCTCATCCGGCTGGATCAAGAGAGGGACATGTGACTAAAGATAACGCCAAACCTCCTGATATCAAGAAAGAGAAGGCTTCCCTCTTCTATGAACTCATCTCTGTCAGGGTAGGAGCTATGAGCCTTCCTTCATTTATGATAAATAATCAAGACCTTGCCACATCCAGATAATAAAGACACCTGAAAAAACATGCAAATGCTTACATGCAAAGAGATGATATATAACAGTGGCTTTTGTCCATATCATAGTTACATGACATGTGGTATATAACTAAATCTAGATTATAATACATTACACTACACCAGCAAAATTGCTAGTTTGGGTCTGTCAAAAGGTAACAAAGGTCACCTATCAGCGCCTCTAAAGCTCACTGATTAACATGTTATATCTTGTTAGTTGGCATGCCATGCCCCTCTCTCTCTCTCCCCTTGTTTCCTGTTTGACTTTATACAGTCCAGTCTGATAAAGGTGGTCAACCAGCAAGACACCAGGAACTGTCACACATAAGCTCCTGTAAAAACCACAACTTGCTGATTTTGTTTTTACACTTGTTTTGATTAAACAAACAAGATGTTAATTAATTAGGGAGTTTTAAAGGTACTGGTAGGTGAATTTCTTTTACCTTTGGACACACCCAGGCTAGCTATATCCCCTTTGTTTACAGTCATTGTGCTAAGCTAAGATAACCAGCTTCTGGCTGAATCTTCACATTTAAAGCTAGGGTAGGCAGGTACAGCTAGATTTTAAAAGTATCACATCACAAAATCTGACCCGCTCCCTTTAGGCCTCCCTCCAAAGCCACTCCTCCAAAACACATTTTTATTCACATAGAGTACACCGGCAGGTTTGAAGGTAGGCAAATTAGTAGGTAGACAGACAGGTAGGCTGCTCATTATTCATTAAAATACTTGTTTGAGGTAGGGAGTGACTAGCTCAAATATAAAATCATACAGCACTATAAACAAACAACAGGACAGAAATCTATGAATTTATATATATTAAAAAACCTAGGGAGAACAATACAGGATTTTAAACATTTCTGAAAGTCATAAAATTCTACACATAGATGCTTTAAACTCCTGCAACAGCATCAGCAACAGTGGGGATAAAACCTGCAAGTTGTTATAAAATGTCTGATTCTTGTGCTTCTGGCACTGAGGTGGTAAGTCTTCCACCGCAGCTTTATGCTGGATCTGCGTTCAACTCTTTATATGCTATGATTTATGGTTTATGTTCAGGAGGAGATGTCAGATCTGCGCTCTCTAATCCGTTTCAAGGAGAAAGAGCTGAGGTGTCTGGAGTGGAGTTTAATGGCCCAGAAGGCCCAGGGATCAGGTGGAGCTTACGTTCCAGAAAGTCTCAGAGAGGAGCTGGAGGATCGTAGGACAGAACAACAGGTAGGATTTTGTATTAATTTTCAAATAATACAAAGTCAAGGTGAAACGAGCAAGAGGGAGCAGGACGTTGGTCTATTGTGGCAGATTCAAATCTGGGCGTCCCACATGGGAAATCACACATCTACCAAAGCAGAATCCCTCCAGGCCAAGAGGGATATTTTGGTTCTACAAGGTCTTCTACTGGGCTGTCCTGTTGCCACAGCACAGATTCATGCCATGCATTGCCGTCATTGTCAAATGAGAAAGAACTGAACAGCTATTTTAGCTTAAAACAGCTTTCTGTTTATTACTGTATCAGAAACAATGGCTGCTGTGCCCCAAGATTGTATCTAGATGCACATGGTCACCAAATGTCCCTTGGTTTTGCTCATCATCTTACAGATCTCACAGATCTTACAAACTTTATCCTGTTAACTATTTCAACCAAAATTACATAGGTGTCTAATAGCATAATAAATGTCCGTCTGTCCTGCACTGTTTTAGATCAGTGGTTCCCAACCTATGGGTCTGGCCCACACAAAGATAGATAAATCTGAAGTGTCTCAAAGTCATTTACAACATGTCAAGTAAGACAAAAACACACTGCTCCACAACAGTAGTTTTTCTCTAATGTTCATTTTTAGTGTAACATATTGGATACTTTTAACTTGCTCAGACCTTTAAAACTAATTCAAATTTTTAAAAAATCTGTGAGGGGAAAATCACCATGATTGCAACACTATGTCAAAAGCTTTTGAAGAACATTGCTTTGCTTTAGATTGTCACAAGCTGAATAGATAACCGTGTATACCACAAAACTGAACAAGAAGGGAGTTTTGATCTTTAAAGATAATCCTAAATTGAATGTCACGTTTCAGAGGCTCTGTGAAAGTGCAGCTAAACTGGGTAGTGATGGGGACATCGTTGTGTCTCAAACTACACCCATTCTGAAAGAGCTGCAGGCTGTCCTGCAAAGGTGAGTCCTTTCTCTTTAGTCCAATGTTTAAAGTATGGCACTAACACTCTAAAAAGTAAACAAATTTTGTCTGGCACATGCATGACAAAAAACATGCCTTCTTACTGTAAAAGTCAATCCGTAAAACCTATTAAATGGCTTATATATAAAATATTTCAGGATTAACCTTTGACAATTTTTAAATCAATGTATGTAATGTCACCTGGAGAAATCTGCGTATTCACAGATTGAAAAAAGGTACTCAGTGTGGAAAATGAATCATTCAGACATCTGTTGTCTGGTTTTAACTGTTGCTTAGGAACACTATCAGCAGAAATGCAGGCTTTGGACGTAAATGGCCTCTTTCCATCAGTTGCTTTAGAGAGCATCCGTTTTCTCTTCTGACCTCGATTAGTGAATAAACCACCACCTTCACATCACATCCGCTCTTAAGTCAAGGACACATCATAAAGTCATTTATAATTTTTACAGATATTTTTGATGTTTTCTGTTGAGCATTATGAACAGACTGAGATTATGTTCTCCCTTCTGTTTCCTCTAATCTCACTTTTGATTTCAGAGAACAAGCCCTGAAGAGGAGACTGGCTTTAGTCCATGACTCCCTAAATGCAGCTCTGTCAGACAGCACCTCCCACAAAAGAGACAACGGAGAGCAGATTGCTCGGCTCACACAAGCTCACAGGTAAGTATCACAATAAAGGTGTTAGGCTGCATGTTTTTGTCAGCTATAGAAAGTAGTAGTTTTGTGGTGTCATTGTTAAACTGAGGGTAGTAAATTGTATCTCGGTGGGTTTCTTCCATTCCAGTAAAGCCTTGAGTTCATACCGGCAGATTCGCAGAAAGTACAGGGAGCAGGTGTGGAGGCTGGAGCAGAAAGTGGCAGCCATGACGGAGAGTCACCACCACCAGAGTGGAGCACCGAAAGCAGGAGAAGAGGCCCTAGAGTGGAGGAGGGAAGAGACTGTTCTGTGATCCTATGATCCTTCAGTCAGAGAATCCACCACTTTGGTTGAAACTGAAAAACAACTGTTGAATGGATTGCCATGAAATAGTACAGATATCTATTGCTCCCAGAGGATGAATCATAACGACTTTGGTAATACCCAAATTTGTCCTCTAGCCCTACCATGAGGTTGACATTTGTGCTTTGAGTGAAAATTCAGATATCAGATGGACTGCAATGAAACACACATTCATGTCCTACTCAGGATGAACTCTAATAACTTTGGTGTCTTTTCATAGTTTTATCATCGGGTCAAACTTTCAGTTTTTCCAGTCATTTGGTTTATGACCCAATTCCTGCTAAACTAATAACATTTTGTGTTTATTGCTAGGTTTCAAAATTCTACAAGTGAATATTGTAAACATCACACCTGCTTAACATCAGCATGTTACCATTCTCATTGTGAGCGTATTAGCACGCTGAAATTAGCATTCATCTCAATGCACCACTGTGCCAGTGTACAGCCTCATAGAGCTGCTAGCATGGCTGACTGTCAGTCTTGTTAATAAGATATGTTAAGAAGTTATTTTTAATTTACTTTACGTACTCCATCCTATTCATCCACCTGTTTTTTTTCTATTTATCTGTCAACCCATCAGTGACATCTACAGCAGTAAGTTGATTCTCATTACCTCTTGAGAGGTAAATATATGTATGTTTGTAGAGCAGTAGAACATGGAAAGCAGTCAGTTCTGCATTTTCCACCAGCTTAACAAGTCTAACAGGACTCACACGTCACAAGACACATGCCTTATTTCAGAGAAACAGCTGTCATGCAGTCATGAATGGGGAAGGCTGACGTCAAGGACAGAATTCACTGAGGACCTTGGGACAAACCTTGAGAACACACATGTCTTTTTTCCCGTACAAACTAACTCTATAAAGCCCCTCCTGGCCGACCCTGCTGTCATGACAAAGCTCTGTGAAGGGGGATGGGGGCAGGACAATGGCACACATGATGTGCACACAAAATGTACGGCCAGCTCTTTTGTCTTCTTAGCTCTTTCATAGTTCTGTCCATCTTCCTCTTTCTGCCTTTCACTGAGTCCACTTCCACTGAACGATCAGTTCACCCAAATTACGCTGAAAACATATTTTCATACTTATTTCTAGTAGCAAAAGTTTTAGATTTCTCAGATCCTGTGTGACATTTTCCTTCATCACAATAAGCATGGACACTTATTTTGAGTCAATCACACACTGCTCATCCTCTAGGATATTTGGTTATTTTTTGTAGAGTTAAAAGCCTTCTCCACCATTTAATCATTGCTGCAGAACCAGAGATCTCATTCGTCTTCCTTGTTAAAACCTGCTGACTACATTTCCCATGATTCAACACAACTGCCAACAGTTTGGTTGGAGATCCGGGTGTGTAATGTTAGTAGTGGCTAATGTAGCTTCAAGGCTAGACTCAAGCAGAGATGAAGAGGAGTGGACTACAGAGTTCTGGTTAACGTACTACTTTCTAACCCCCAGATTTTTTTCATTTTCAGACCTGTAGTTTTCAGCTCCAACTGACACTGACTCTAGTGACATCACTTGAGACATTTTATCAGACTTCACGCAGCGCCCTCTTGAAACACCAATGGCTTTATCCAACGTTTTTCACATGTGTATTAAAACTCAACCACACATGTAAACAAACTTTGATCTGTAAAACCCGTGCAATTCCAATTTTAAGGAAAAGTTTTGGACAGAAATTGGAAAAAAAGTGATTACTATATATAAAAAAATAATAAAAATACTGTATTATAAGTTAACTGTTTAAATATGTGATTAGTTTAAATACAAATGTATATGTATTTATGTTCTCCTTTAAAACTTTGTTCTATATCACGTTGTATTTATGTTACTGTCACATGTTGTTGTTTCCAGATTTGAGAAAACAATTTAAAAAAATTAAGTATTAAGATATTAACACACATCCTTTATATGAGTGTGAGCACCACAAATATAAAAATTCCTTTCAACTCATTGTATTATATATGGAGGTAGAAATCCCTAGGACGCGTATCTCAAAATCTGTACAAATGAAACCAAAATTATCTGTACAGACAGATACTAATGAACGTAATTGAGAAAATGTGTTTGTTTTTTTATTTGAGTGAATGGACCCTTTAAAAACCCAGCTTAATCTTACTCTCTCTTCATCCTTTGCTCTTCACCTCTCATTCACCTCCATTTTCCTGCCTTTATGCTCCATCTTCTCGCCACTCATCTCTCAATCATCTCTACGCCCACTCCCCCCTCCAGCGACCTCGAGCTCTGACCTACCCGAGCCAGTCAGCTGCAGCTGTGACCGGCGGTCAGGAGGTTAAGGCAAAGGTTGAGTGTCACACCCACAGGGTCACAGTGATGCCTGGCTGTTGTGTTAGCTTGTGAATGAAGGGTTCAGAGTGCCAGACGAGGTGGCGAGCCCCTGACGGCCTGACTCTTGCCTGAGCTTGCCCTTTCCCGAGCAGAGGTCAGCACAGAAGGCCTGTCCTCGCCGCTTCCCCCCAAACCTCCAGGTCACCATCGCTATTGTTGTAATAGCTGCCATTAGAGCAGATACAATTATCTTTCCATTTTGTGTTCCCTCTCTCTAAGATCTATGTTAAGCTTTTAAGTTCATCAAAGGTTTTTTTAGATGACATGACTGTTGTAACCTCTGGGTGACTCCTGTATCAAAGAGGCCACATTATGCCAAAATGTCCCATGGAAAGAAAAAGTGTTTTATCATGCATGGCTCAATATGTGCATCTATACAGAAGCGGAAGAAGTATTCAGATCCTTTACTTAAGTAAAACTAATATTACAACATTTCAATCTATTTAAAATCTTAGCATTACCAACAAAATGTACTTAAATTATCAAAGTAAACATATGCATTCTGCAGAGAAATGGCCCTACTATGTCCTACAATATTAACATTGTTATTTATTACTGATGTAACAATCATAAGCAGCATTTTACTGCTGTAGTTGGTTGAGATGGACAGCTCAGCATATTATTTTAGTTATTAGTTATTTAAGTAGTAGCTATATTTATATAACTAGTAAATATAGCTACTAGTAGCTACTAGTAGCTATATTTATATAGCAGAGTGAAAGTATAAAGTTGCACAGCATGGAAAAAGTAAAGTAAAGTACCTCTAAAGCTGAACTTAATGACAGTAGGCTACTTGAGCAATTACACTTGGTAACTTTCCACTTGTGCATCTCTCAGTAATACAGCCTCAGGATTGTCATTATGTATTATTACTTCTCACTGTCATCATGAATTCAACGGCCTGTCTGCGTCATGATGAGGAGATACTTAGATCCTTTACTTAAGTAAAAGCTGCAATACCACACTGTGTACAAGTATTACTAGCAAAATGTACTTAAAATACCAAATCTAAAAGTACTCAGGGTAGAAAAAAGAACCCTGTGTGATGTATTATTATATATAATTTTATTTGATTATTATTATATAACATAATATATAACAAAAGCACTTGTAATCAAGTAACAGTAAGAGAGCAAATAAAGAAATAAGCAATCAGGGAACGACAAATACAGAGCAATCCAAGAGTCAATCCAATAACTATAAAATATATCTATGAAAAGCAACCTAATGACCAGCCAATATTATAATTTTCACGCTCAACTACATTAAAATTAATTAGTTTAATCTATAATCTATATAGTAATCTAAAGTATGTATGTTTAATAAGATCATTGTGTTTTTATATCTAAACAAATAACTAGTAAATATGGAGTCAGTGGTGTATTGAAGTAAAAAGAACAATATTTATGTAATAAGTATAAGTATAAAATGTCAAATGGAAATACTCAAGTAAAATACCTTAAACATTTACTTAAATATTTTCACACACTGCCTGGAACACATTGAACTGCTGGAGGTTTTAAATAAAGGATAATCAAACATACTTCAAAATGTCTTTGTTGAATTAATAAAACCTTGTTTTAACCTTGATCCAACATGAATGTGTGAAAGGTCTAATCTAATCTTGCTCATGATAAAATTATTGTAGGTGTGATGAAATATGCATTGAAATACAGTTTTAAAAGGGCAATAAGGAACAAGTGAGATAAGAAAGTCAAAACAAGGCACATGAGAACAGACTGACTTTGGTATTAAATAGTCATTTTCTGGACAATATAGAGGCTGTAACACTCTCATCTGGGAACATTTAAGCTCCACATTTCTGGATACGTTTCTACCCCCACATGTAACAGCCAACATTGGAGCCTGTGGATAGGGGAGTTTTTCAGTTCCTGGGAAAAATACTCAAACCATTATTAAACAACGAAAGCGGCTGTCAGTCAGTGTGGGGGTGGATGCACACACATCCACAGAAAGGGGGGCAGTGACCTAGGGGTTTTAGGTCAACTCATTTACTCTCTGCATCCGTTCCTCATTTTAAGTTGTCCCTCTGTAATCTGTATAAAGAGATCACAGGCTGCACCTTCATCCCTGCGCTCTTTCTTTCTCAAAGCCATTAGCTCACCTGTCACAACCACTCCATATCCTCTCTCATCTCCTCATCCTCTTTATATCTCTCTATTCTCCCTTCTGTGGTCTGGGACGTTGCCACGCTGACCTGACACATCTCTCGTGAGCTTTGGGACACCAGCCAGCCTGTGGAGAGGTCAGGAGGATGGGGTGCTATTGGCATAGAGAAGTGCGAAAGAGACTTGACCTCAATCAAATGGCCGATCACATCCGCTTTGTGCTCTCAACCACTCAGATAATGACAGCAAACAGCACCGACCAAAAGGATGCCTCACCCTCACAACCACCAGATAAAGAGCAAAATCTTGTTGCTGGTGAAACTGAGTTCAGTTATGGGGATTCTTCTGCTAAAGCTCCTATTAAAGGATTACGTATCTGCTTTGTCTACAGGTGGAGAGAGTTGTTTGATGCCTGAAATTCATCCTGGATCAATTTAATGAGCATCAAGCAATAAGCCTATTGTGTGTAGTTCCTAACACTGAAATTTTAAGGTTTACGCTGACTATATACTGTGACTAGACTACATAGAAATATTTTGTTTTATTTTGTTCTTTACATCATGATGTGAGAAAGAAGTTGTTCAGTAAAACAAAAAAAATATTCTTGGAAGATGATAAAATAAAGAAAAGATATATGTGGTATTATTGTGTGTCATTTTATTCCATGTGGGATGGACCATTTTACATAAAAGCATGACACAAAACAAATTCAATAACTCATATAAATGGACAACAAATTAAGGAATAATCTGAACAAATCAGTGGAGAAACATAACAAATGGAGATGCTTGCTTGAAGATAAAGAGAAAGCATTTGGATGTGAACAATGGCCTTAAGAGTCACCTCTGAACCCAGCAGAACACCTGTAGGAGATTAGTGACCGACATGTTAGACAGTGCTCTCTCCACCACCATCAACAAAAATTAAATGAGAGAATATCTTTTGATTAATGGTTTCATCCCTCCAGTAGAGTTCCAGTGGCTTGTAGAATCAAACTGTGCAGTGGGACAAATAAAGCCTCTCAAACAATCAACCTCAGGCAAAAAAATGTGAGTAACCACCTTGTTCTGTGTGCAATAGTCTTTCAGTTTCAATTTAATTCAAATCAGCTTTATTGGCATGAATGTATACCAACAGTATTGCCAAAGCTACATATAAATTCATGGTTGAGTCCTTTAAACTTTTCACCTTCAATGAGTGTTATCAACTTATTACAATCAGGTGTGCCAAGTGCCTACTTGTTGTCAGATCTGCCTCGCTGAAAGCCTCACAGGGCCACTTCCATCACTGCCTCTGGGGGAGGGGAACCCTTTTAGTACTTTTTAGAATTCAACTGTGGAAATACTCGTCACCCGTCTGTACAGTGACACAAAAAATTAAGGTAGCTTTCTTCAACGGACCATGCCATTCTTTACAGGTTTTCAAATAAATGGTACTTCACAATGTTGTAAACTTTTTAGCTTTCTCGCCTTTGTCATAGAGTCTGACAGTAGAGAGGTTCACTTTATTGTAGTATGAAAAGAGACTTGACGCTTAGTAGAGGCAAGCATTTATATTATTATTTATTATTGCCAAAGCTGTGTTCTTATCATATGGTTAGGCAGTTACAGGTGCCAATTGTTTTCAAGAAAGCTGTACAGTTGATGGAACTGACAAAAATGAAAGTAGGCATGATGTTCACTGTGATGGATTAACTATATCAAATCCACTCAGTTGTCAGTTTATTAGGTACACCTAGCTAAAATGAATGCAGTCTAAATACAACAGAAACTTTAGAGATGTGTAAATTCAACTGTATGATCATTTTGGGGGATGTTGTTTGTGGTGCTCAAAGGTGTTTCTATTATTTAGCTTACACTTGTTCTTATAAATGCAGTGGACAGAAAAACATTGTATTTATGTATGATTTGCACTGGAAACCTTTTCATGCAAACCCTCCTTGGTTTGCTGTATTGAACTTGGTAACTCAACTGAAGCTTAACTCTTTGTTGTAATTTTTTTAGTCCAAGCTGTACACATCACAGATCAGTGTCCAGACAAACAACAGAGCAGAAGAGCTAAAGAGGTCATTTAGCTTGTCAGTAGATTACAGCAATAAGGTCTTAGAGGTGAAAGATGGCAGGGGGAGTGACGTCTTCCTAATCCTGTTGAGTCGTCTTCAGCGAGGTGATTAGGTTAACTTTTAATCATCCTAAGCACCTTAGTTGACCTATGGGCATACTCCGATAGCAGTGGGCAAATCACGGAGCAACAGATTGGACAGAGATTTACAAGAGATTGACATTGGTGATTGAGAACACGATCAAACTGTTGTGGCTGCAGAGAGTGTTAGGTAAATGCCCTGTCTCAAAGTTCCACTGACATCATATTGACAATCTGTCAATAGTAATAACTTTACATCTGAAGCAAAACATTTAGAGAAATCAGGTTGTGCTAGTTTGTCAGCCTCCTTAACCCCACAGATCCTTCGGTCGGTTCATCATTACAAACTTATCCGCAGTCATCGGTTTTATTTTAAACTCGAGTCGAGAGCCAAGATTTCCAGAGATACCATATGTCATGTTGAATGGTCATGGGTGTAATTATTTTGGACAAGAAAATAAAGCATAGAAGCAATTATAACCACTGTGTATAAATTATACACATTGACCTCAAATGTTTTGCTTTCACCTTAAAGAAATCTGCATTTTAATATTAAACCTGTTCGAACAATAGCATCACAGTTGACAGTCAGTATTTGCAAATGGAGTCCTGACCTTTCAATGACAGCAAAAAAGGATTTGCAGCCTAGTGGTGATTCATTACTTCTACTTACTGTAAGACTACAACACTGGTAAAAATTAAAACTGCACTATTTAACAATGGTTCAAAATGCAACAGGTAATGTGACAGGTGTCATTTGTAGTGACAAACCTGCAGCAGCTGTTCCTCTCAGCTCTACTGTTTTAGCATCTTTCAGCTCACTGTTTTGGTTTTACATCCTGCAACTACACTGTTTTAGTTCACTGTCGTTGCTCGTCAGTCTTTTCCCCAGCTGCAGCAGACAGCTGTTTTCTGCAAAAAAATCTCTGAGAAACTGACTGTACACTACCTTCTCAGCACCAAACAGCAGACAGACACAGTTAGAGACTAAGTAGTGAACATAGTTGAGCATTTAGCAGTTAAAGTGCCAGATATTTCCCATAAAGAGTTTGTGATTGCCAGACCACAGCTAATAGCATAGTTAATATTGGATTATCATCCATTAGGTGGCCAGAAACACGACTCTAAATGAGTGCTAATGTTGTTCCATGTATGTGTGCATACATTTTAACACATTCAACGTAATAACTTCATAAGGTGAAAATATGTTGTTCTGCTGCTCTAAAAGTAAATATTTTATTTATATAGTCTCAGGGCATCCTCTTGGTTAAGTGGTCTAGTGTAACATGAAGCCATATATCTGGTTTGATTTTGGCTGGGAATTTTTGTTGCATGTCAAGGTTAGCTTAGCACACAGACAGGAAAATGGGGGAAATAGCAAGCTTGGCGCTGCCCAAAGTTCATAAATAAGACTACCAGTACCACTCAACCTAACTAATTAACATATTATATCTCATTTGCCAGGCACCAGACAGGAACGGGATTAAACAAACAAGATACAACAAGTTAGTTATTGAGCATAAGGGTGGTATGTTTTTTTAACTTTAGACAGAGCCAGGCTAGCTGTTTCCCTCTGCTCCATGCTTAGCACACAGACATAAAAGTGGTTTTAATCTTCACATCTAACGCTCTGCAAGAAAGCAAATAACCCTATTCACCAAAATGTAGAATTATAAAGTTAGATAAATCTTCATCTGGATATTTGAAGCTATTAAAATATAAAACATATATTGTTAACATCAGAGTTATTTCCCGCCTCTGTTTAAACTCTGTTTAACATCAGCTACATTCAATAAGGTGTCTTATCTTTACAGTGGACACTTTACAGTAAACAGTTCTATTGACTCCTCTACAAACAATGGGTTGATACCTTGTTCACAGCAAACAGCAGATAGCTGATTTAAATGACAATAAAGCAACACCAAATGGGAAGTTTCTCACCATCTCCAGCAGGTCCTGGGTGGGGAGGAGGGCAAATATTGACTGGACGCCGTGTGTTGCTCGGGAGTCACTCCAGCAGATGTTTTTCTTTGGCAGGTTCCACTGCAGTGTGTATTTTAAATTGCTCTGTCATTCGCTCGAGGTCAAAGGCCTGAGGATGGAGAGAGTGTTGTGAAGGGAGAGAGAGAGGGAAAGAGAGGAGAAGATGATTCGCTCCTCTGGCCTCTGGGCCAAAGGGCAGTGGGGCTAATGAGGAAGGAACAGGGAGTCATGTGCTCATACTTGTTCACCCAGTTACTCCTCAGAGTTAAAGTTTAACCCCAGTTCTCTA